CCTCCGTGATGGGGGCAGCTTCGGGGGGGTGAGGGGGTGGTGGTGCAGGGAGGGGGGGTCCTTACCTCCTGCCCACAGTGGGGGAAAAGGATACAGCTTCACAGCTCCCGCCTTGGTGCCGATGGCCATCACGCGCAGGACGGGGTCGTAGGCCAGGGCGCTGGGCTGGCTGGGGAAGCCATGCTCCACCGTCTGCCGTGGGGACAGGCAGGTCAGAGCTGGGACCCCCCCCAACACCTCTGGACCCCCCCCAAGCCCTCCTCTTGCCCCTACGGCTCTGTCCCACAACTCCCATCCCGAGCTTCATCCCCACGATGGAGGAGCATGAGGATGCTGCCTTGTCCCCCCACTGCTACCGAGGGGGTGGCCTTGGGGTGGTGGGACACCCCTCGTCACCCGGTGTCCACCTGACACCCCAAGATGGACCAAACCCAACAGCCACACCAAGGGACAGGGTAGGTCTGACCTTGCACGAACTTCCCCAGACAACACCTTGGGGAAAAGACCCCCTACCCTAAACCCCTGCCCGAGGTGTGGATGCCCCAAGAGGGGTGAGCGGGGTCCAACTCAGCCCCACAGGCAGGAGGGACCCCCACCATGACATCCCTGGGGGTCTGCGGTGGCAGAACCAGGCGAGCAGGACCCGCCGGTGCTGGGGACATCCCCTCTGGAGCCATGTGCCGCCTGCGGGCACCTTCCCAAGGAAGTCCCGGCCGGCGACGGCGTGCCCGGGCTCGCCGGGCTGGGGAGGGGTTGCCCGCCTGGCACCAGGGGGACGCGGGGGGCACCCGCCGCCCCGGTCCATGGGGAGGGAACTGCGGGGCTCCCGGGGGAGTGTCCCCGGGGGCAGCTTGGCTGAGCGGTGCGACGGCACGATCAGATGATACGGAGGCGCCGGAGCCAGACTGGCCGGATCCTGACCCGCTCCCTTTTGTCTGGGGCGGCCGGGGCGCACCGGGGTGGCTTTTCACACCCGCCGGCACAGCCACTGTCACCCGCTCCCCTCCAAAGGGCCACCTTCAGGGACGTGCCAACCTCCCCAGCCCACCCAGAGGGTCCCAGCCTGGCTGGGGAGGGGGTGTGTGTGAATTAGCGGGTTCCTGTGTGTCCCATTCCCTGTGACAGCCCCGCGCGGGGTCACCCTGAATCCCCCTGGGATGCACACGCCGCACTGGAGGATGGTGGTGGGAGCTGGGACGGCGGCAGCAGAGGGACATCCCGGAGATTCTTTTAGGAATCAATACAATGCCCCCCCCCCCAAAAAAGACCCCGCAACACTCCCCCAAAAGCTCCCCTGTGCCCCAAGCCCCCAGATGGGGGACGTGGGTCCCAGCCCTTCCTCCCGCCCGGCAGCGGGGCCGCATCCGGCGGGGCTGTGCCGGCCCGGCCAAGGCCCGCTCCCGGCCAAATTACAGCAAATCCCAGGCAGATCTGGAGCTCGGGAGGAAAAACAACCATTAATGGGAGGCAGGTGGGCAGCCGGCAGCCCCAGCGCCAGGCCGGCCAGAGCGGGGCCACTCCCCGGCCCCCCCCTCTCCCCTCCCCGGGGCGCCCCACTGGGTGCAGACCCCCCAGGACGCCTGTGTGGGCAGGATCCGACCCGCGGGACCATCTTCCCTCATAAAGTTGGGGGCTCTAGTTGGGGTGAGCCTCACACCCCAGCAAGACCCTCACCCGCAGGGGTGAGTCTTGGGGGACGGGGCTGTGGGTGCAGGCTGTGACCCCCCCACACACACTACAGAGCACCCCAACACCTCTCAGCCCAGCCCTGCCTATGGGGGGATTTGGGGGGGTCCCTCTGGTGCACCCCACATGGCAAGCGTCTAATGCCTAAGGATGCTGCCAAAGGACGGACGGACAGATGGACACGGTCTGGGCCAAGGGACGGTGTTCTCCTTCTCTCCTGGGGCCAGGGCAGGAGGAGGATGGTCCCAACAACCATGGGGCTCCTGGGATGGGGTGCACTGAGCCCCGGGGGGCACCCGCTGGCACAGCCCCTCCTGCCCACGCGCCAAGGGAAGGGTCCGGCCCCCCAGGACTGGTGGGGTCCCCTCCCCAGTGGTTTGGGGAACCCGGGGGGGGGCTCCCCACACCACATAAAGGGGGCTAAGCAGGAAAGCTCCCCAGTTCCAGTGGGAGGGAGGGCAAGCTCTGGGCCTCCCATGTCCCCAGTCCCCCTGAGACACAGCTTTGGGGTGCCAGGGGACCCCAAACTCCGGGGGTCACCACCACAGCCCTCCCTGCTGACACAGAGGCTCCAGCCTCCCCACATCCCATCCCTAGGGGGGGGGTTCGGGGCTGAGGTCCCCCATGGGGCACACAGGCAGGGATG